ACCTGGCACACCTGGGCACACCTGGGCACACCTGGGATACACCTGGGGGGGGTCACGCTCACCTGGGGGGCATCCACGGGGTCCCTGTGCTGCCACACCCACCTGATCCTCAACGTGGAGTGGGCCAAGTGCGTACCTGGCACACCTGGGATACACCTGGGCACACCTGGGACACACCTGGGCACACCTGGGACACACCTGGGCACACCTGGGATACACCTGGGCACTCACTGGGGGGGGTTACACTCACATGGGCACTCCCCTGTCATACCTGGGCACTCACCTGGGGCACTCACCTGGGCACTCACCTGAGCATACCAGGACACACCTGGGGCACACCTCAGACACACCTGTGCACACCTGGGGGGGTCACACTCACCTGGGCACTCACCTGGGGAGTGGTCACACTCACCTGGGCACTTCCCTGTCACACCTGGGGCACACCTGAGACACACCTGGGCACACCTGGGGCACACCTGTGCTCACCTGGGGGGTCACACTCACCTGGGCACTCCCTGGGCACACCTGGGCACACCTGGGGGGTCACACTCACCTGGGCACTCCCCTATCACACCTGGGGCACACCTGAGACACACCTGGGCACACCTGGGGCACACCTGTGCTCACCTGGGGGGTCACACTCACCTGGGCACTCCCCTAGCACACCTGGGCACACCTGGGGTCCCTCTCACCTGTCCCCTTTTTTTCCTCTCCCCAGGCCCTCGACCAACTGAGCCGCTCCTGGTTTGTCCCGGTTTGTCCCAGTTTATCCCAGTTTGTCCCAGTTCAATAAAGCTCCGGGCTCTGGCACTGCCCCGTCCCTGTCCCAAAATTCCCAGCTGAGAAAAACGGGAATTTGGGGTGAAAAACGGGAATTTTTGGAGAAAAAAAATGGGGATTTGGAGGGTGAAAATTGGGAATTTGGGGTGAAAATTGGGGATTTTAGGGGGAAAAAATGGGAATTTGGGGTGAAAAATGGGAATTTGGGGTGGGAAAATGGGAATCTGGGGGGAAAAAATGGGATTTTTCCTGAAAAAAAGAGCGACACGAGTTCCTGGGCTGGATCCAACTTTATTCCTGCTCCTCCCAGCAGGGGAGGGACCACAATTCCCAAATTTCCAACCCGGAATTCCGGCCACGACAACTCCTTGGAAGTTCCTGAAATTCCCACTGAGCATTTCTGGGGCTTCCCCCCCCAATTTTTGGGAATTTTTTTTTTTCCTATTTTTAAGGTGTTTTTCCCATTTTGGGGGGTTTTCCCTCCTTTTTTTTTTGTTTTTCCCGGTTTTTGGGGCGCTCTCACCTGGATTTGGGGGATCCCAGCAGGGAAAACGTGGAAAGGGACACGGGGGATCTTTAGGGGATCCCAAAATTCTTCTGGAAATCCCCAAAATCCCCTTGGAAATCCCCAAATCCTCGGGGGGGGATCCCAAAATTCCATTTTGGGGATCGCAGAGTTTTTCTGGAAAATTCCAAAATTCCTCAGGACCCCAAATTCCCCATCCCGGTGGGATCGGGGGGTCCCAAATTCCCAATTTTTTTTTTTTTTCCCCCTCTCAATTTTTCCTTTTCTGGGCCCGTCCCGGCCGTGGGAAATTTGGGATTTTCCGGGGGCTCAGGAGCTTCCCACGGTGGGATTTGGGGTTTTTGGGATGTCCCGGGTGGGATTTGGGATTTTTGGGGTGAGATTTGGGATTTTTGGGATGTCCCGGGTGGGATTTGGAGGTTCCAGGTTGGGATTTTGGGGTTTCCTGTTGGGATTTGGGGGTTCCAGGTTTCCTGGGGTGGGATTTGGGGTTTTTAGGGTGTCCTGGGTGGGATTTTTGGGATCCAGGTGTGGATTTTNGGGGCACACCTGAGACACACCTGGGCACACCTGTGCTCACCTGGGGGGTCACACTCACCTGGGCACTCCCCTATCACACCTGGGCACACCTGGGGTCCCTCTCACCTGTCCTCTTTTTTTTCCTCTCCCCAGGCCCTCGACCAACTGAGCCGCTCCCGGTTTGTCCCAGTTTGTCCCAGTTTGTCCCGGTTTGTCCCAGTTTGTCCCAGTTTGTCCCGGTTTGTCCCAGTTTGTCCCAGTTTGTCCCAGTTCAATAAAGCTCCGGGCTCTGGCACTGCCCCGTCCCTGTCCCAAAATTCCCAGCTGGGAAAAACGGGAATTTGGGGTGAAAAACGGGAATTTTTGGAGAAAAAAAATGGGGATTTGGAGGGGGAAAATGGGAATTTGGGGTGAAAATTGGGGATTTAAGGGGAAAAAATGGGAATTTGGGGTGAAAAATGGGAATTTGGGGTGAAAAATGGGAATTTGGGGTGGGAAAATGGGAATCTGGGGGGAAAAAAATGGGATTTTTCCTGAAAAAAAAGAGCGACACGAGTTCCTGGGCTGGATCCAACTTTATTCCTGCTCCTCCCAGGAGGGGAGGGACCACAATTCCCAAATTTTCAACCCGGAATTCCGGCCACGACAGCTCCTTGGAAGTTCCTGAAATTCCCACTGAGCATTTCTGGGGCTTCCCCCCCCAGTTTTTGGGAATTTTTTTTTTTCCTATTTTTAAGGTGTTTTTCCCATTTTGGGGGGTTTTCCCTCCTTTTTTTTTTTGTTTTTCCCGGTTTTTGGGGCACTCTCACCTGGATTTGGGGGATCCCAGCAGGGAAAATGTGGAAAGGGACACGGGGGAACTTTGGGGGATCCCAAAATTCTTATGGAAATCCCCAAAATCCCCTTGGAAATCCCCAAATCCTCGGGGGGGGGGGGGATCCCAAAATTCCCTTTTGGGGATCGCAAAGTTTTTCTGGAAAATTCCAAAATTCCTCAGGACCCCAAATTCCCCATCCCGGTGGGATCGGGGGGTCCCAAATTCCCAATTTTTTTTTTTTTCCCCCTCTCAATTTTTCCTTTTCTGGGCCCGTCCCGGCCGTGGGAAATTTGGGATTTTCCGGGGGCTCAGGAGCTTCCCACGGTGGGATTTGGGATTTTTGGGATTTCCTGGGTGGGATTTGGGATTTTTGGGATGAGATTTGGGGTTTTTGGGATGTCCCGGGTGGGATTTGGGATTTTTGGGGTGAGATTTGGGATTTTTGGGATGTCCCGGGTGAAATTTGGAGGTTCCAGGTTGGGATTTTGGGGTTTCCTGTTGGGATTTGGGGGTTCCAGGTTTCCTGGGGTGGGATTTGGGGTTTTTAGGGTGTCCTGGGTGGGATTTTTGGGATCCAGGTGTGGATTTTGGGGTTCCTGAGTGTGATTTTGGTGTTCCAGGTGTGGATTTT